GGCCCGGTTTGGGCCCAGCTCACCTGCGCAGGTGCAGGTGGTGCTGCAGGACCCGGCGCCGCTCCGGGCTCAGCTCGTCCCACACCGAGCAGGGTTTTCCTTTCCGGGTCGGAGCCTTCGGAACATCTGGAGAGGGAACGAGGTGGGTGTGGGACCCTCTGGAATGGGATGATCCGGGATGATCCCGATCCTGCCCCGGAGGTGCCCCCTGGCTCCCACCTGCCCTCCCGCTGCCGTGTTCCAGCAGCAGGGCTGGGGATCCTCGGGATTCTCCCACATCCTGGGATTCTGCCACATTCCGGAGCGGCTCCGGCACCGTCCGGGTGGTGCCGGCCCGGGAGCTGCTTCCCTGGGCCCTGGGATGGGACAGGGAATGAGGGGGTGAGTCCCACAAACACCTGATGGCAGCGAGGACACGGCAATCCCAGAGCTTTCCCCCACCCTCCTCATCCAAAGAATCCCTTTCCCAGTAATCCCAGAGCTCTCCCTCACCCTCCCAGTCCCTTCCGTGGGAATCCCAGAGCTCCCCCCTCACCCTCCCAGCCCCTCTCCCGGCATTCCCAGCGCCATTCCCGGTGTTCCCGACCCTTTCCTGCGGCAGCAGCTGCTGTAGGGGGCGGATTTCAGGAGGGCGCTCCGGGCGATCCGTCGTGTCCGTGCCAGGAGCGGGGCCTGGGATCCCTGGGAATGGGAGGGAATGGGAGGGATGTGGATCAGGGGGTGCCACGGGGGGTGCCACGGGTGGGGCAGGTGAGGCCACACCCACCTGCACACCTGGAGCCTCTCCCGGAGCCTCTGGAGCCGGAGCTGGAGCCGGGAGGGAGCGATTCCGGCCGTAGGAACGTTGGAGACCTGGAAAACAGGGATGGGATGAGGGGAAAGGGACACAGGGACAGGGAATGGGACAGGGAAAGGGATGTGGGGACAAGGAAAGGGACACAGGGACAGGGAATGGGACACAGGGACAGGGAATGGGACAGGGAAAGGGATGTGGGGACAAGGAAAGGGACACAGGGACAGGGAATGGGACAGGGAATGGGACACGGGGACAGGGAATGGGATGTGGGGACAAGGAAAGGGACACAGGGACAGGGAATGGGACAGGG